CCCCGTTCTCTCCTCCTCCCCCACTTGCGCTCTCCCAAAAATAAAAGAAAAGAAAAAAAGAAAAACCATTTAAAAGAATTTTTTCAATGTTTATTTTTTGAGAGAAAGAGAGACAGTGTGTGTGGGCGAGGGAGGGAGGGGCAGAGAGAGGGAGACATAGAATCTGAAGCAGGCTCCAAGCTGAGCTGTCATCATAAAGCCCCACAAGGGGCTCAACTCATGGACCATGAGATCATGACCTGAGCCATGAGTTGGGACACTTAACAGACTGAGCCACAGAGACACTCCTCTTTTAACCTTTTTTTTAATATTTAGAAAAAGCATTTAAAAATATATATGGCTACATACCTAACAAGGGACTTATACTCCAAACATATAAAAAATTCTCAAAACTCAACAATAAAAAATATTTTTGAGAGAGAGAGAAAGTGAGCAAGGAACAGAGAGAGAAAAAGAATCCCATTAAAGGCATCAAGAGAGAGAAGTGGGGCTCACCCTAAGTGGTGCTCGTGCTCACCAGAAGCAGGGCACGAGGTCACCTAATGAGGGACTCGAACTAATGAACTCACGAACTGTGATCATGACCTGAGCTGAAGTCAGATGCTTAATTGACTGAGCCACCCAGGAATCCTAAAAAATAACGATTTAAAAACGGGCAAAATATTTGGGGGTGCCTGGGCGGCTCATTCGGTTAAGCATCCAACTCTTGATTTTGGCTCAGGGCATGATCTCACAGTCATGAGATCGAGCCCTGCATTGGGCTCCACACCACGCAGTGCAGCCTGCTTAAGATTCTCTCTCTCTAACCCTCTGCCCCTCTCCCCCACTCTTGTTCACTCACTCTCTCTTTCAAACACAAAAACAACAACAAAATGGGAAAATATTGGAATAAACACTTTAACAAAGAGGTACAAATGGCAAATAAGCACATTAAAACGTGTTTAATACCATTAGCCACAAGGGTAATAGGAAGTGAAACCAGAATGAGATGCACTACATCTATGAGAACGACTAAAATTTCTAAAACTAACAATACTAAGTCCTGGTAAAGATGCCGAGCAACTGGAACTCTCATATACCATTGGCTGGTATGTAAGATGGTACAGCCACTTTGGAAAACAATTTGGAAGTTTCCTATACAATCAAGCATGCACTTACTGTAGGATCCAGCCACCCAACTCCTAAAAATAAAAACTTATGTTCACAGAAAAATATGCATGTGAACATTTACACTAAGTTTATTCAAAATCACCAAAAACTGGATTGTGGAAACCAATTACACAATCCACACTGGATTGTGTAAACCACACAATGTCCCTTCAGCTGGTGAGTGGATAAACAAATTGTGACACATCCATACAATGGAATGCTACTCAGCAAAAATAAATAAATAAATAAACTATTGATACATGCAACAAAATAGATGAATCTCAAATGCACTAGCTAAAGGAAACAGCCACACTCAAAAGGCTACACATACTGCATAATTCCATTTATATAACATGCTTGAAAAGGCAAAACTGTAGGGATAGCACACAGATCAGTGGCTGTCAGGGTTGAAGAGCTGAAAAGGGTATGACTACAAAGGAACAGCGCAAGGAAGTTTTCTGGAGAACCGCAATGTATCTTGGTTGTGGTGGTAGCATACTACTCTATGCATTTGTCAAAAATCACTGATCTCCATCAAAAAGAGTAAATTCTGCGGTATATTAAATAATTTTCAAAGATAGGTTATGGCGGTTTGTTTTTAAAAGGAAAGGCAATTTGGAAGGAATAATAATAATAATGCAGGTTGAAAACAAGGTCTCCAGAGGAAGGTCAACTGATACAAAGGGGTACTTAGTTGGAGATGGATTTAAAAAGCAATGCAGAAATCTTAAGGAATCTACTCCTGAAATCATTGTTGCACTATATGCTAACTAAATTGGATGTAAATTTAAAAAATAATAATAATAGAAAAAGAAAAAAATAAAATAAAAAAATACAAAGCAATGCAGATATCTAATTATCCAAATTATTGAATAATGTCATGAAGGTGGAAACACTGAGCTGCATAGAAAGTATGCCTTTGGTCCTGATTCGACTTAAGAGTCGGAGACAATTCTAATTTTTTTTTTTAATGTTTATTTATTTTTTGACAGAGAGAGACACAGAGCGTGTGCAGGGCAGGGGCAGAGAGAGAGAGGGAGACACAGAATCTGAAGCAGGCTCCGGGCTCTGAGCTGTCAGCACAGAGCCCGACGCAGGGCTCGAACTCACAGACTGGGAGATCAAGACCTGAGACGAAGTTGGAAGTTTAACCGACTGAGCCACCCAGGCGCCCCAAGACAATTCTAACCAATACCACCTCACAAATGAAGACAAAGGAAAGGTTCAGTGGCTAACAATCAGGCAGGGTTTTAGCCTTTATTTATACTAGTATTTCACTCAAGGGTTCTTAACATGAAATACCGAGATAGAATTCTAGGACTCCATGAAAAGTGGATGAAACAAAGATTCGTCTTCATTTTCACTAACCTCTAACTGAAATGTGGTACAGTTTCCTTGGGTCATGAATGTATGCAACTGTCTGTGGTAGACTAAACAGGACTTGTACTTCCATCACTCACAGATATCATAGGTTTTTCCTATCACATAGTATTACCATAGATCCTCTGCTATCTTATTTTGTATATGCATTAATAATTATTTGCATCAATATTAATATTAATAATTTGCATGAATAATTAATAATTTGCGTTAATAAATATTTATAAGTAATATATTTGAGGGATTTTAGCACTTCAATAACGAAAGTTATAAGGAAACTTTATAACTTGTGTATTTCATTTCCTACACTTAAAATACATTAAATATTTCATTTCATACATTTAAATACATTAAATCTTTTAAAATACAAATAAAACATTCTAAGAGAGGGTTCACAGGCTTCCCCGGAACACAAAAATCCCTGCTCTAAATTATCCTGCTCCCATTGTACAAAGCACCTTCATACATGCATGAAGTGTCACTCTCTCCCTGGGTATGTAATACTTTACATCAGAGACAAGGAAATGCACGGCTTTTTTAAAAGCAGTAATCGTATTTGTTTGCACTCACTAGATAGTAAAGTCCATATAAAATTAAATTATATACATACAGAGACCTTGGACTGAATACTACATTGTTGAACAAAATGTACTTTCTGAAACTACAGATGAGAATAACCTAAAAAAATCAATCTATCTTATGTCTCAAATAAGAATTTAATGAAAGCATCTAAGAAATGATTTATGTTGGGGCGCCTGGGTGGCTCAGTCGTTGAGTGTCTGACTTCAGCTCAGGTTGTGGTCTCTCAGTTCGAGAGTTCAAGCCCCGTGTCAGGCTCTGTGCTAACAAACAGATCAGAGCCTGGAGCCTGCTTCGGATTCTGTATCTCCCTCCCTCTCTCTCCCTCCCCTGCTCATGCTCTGCCTCTCTCTGTCTCTCAAAAATAAATAAATGTTTTTGACAAAATGATTTATGTTGCTAAAAACACATGGAAAAGAGTAGGAAGTTTAGTTTTGTTTTCTAAATCCTACACTGTACACACATTGCAATGTCTTGTTTTTCTCGTTTAAAAGGTAAAAAACAAAGGATCTCAAAACCTCAAAAACCAAAAAAAGTAGATTTTAAATACCTAGATCTCTAAAATAAGAAAATTCTTATGATTCCCTGAGTTAAACAGCAGTAAACTGCCAACCAAATGAGATACAGCAGTCATTTAAATAATGAAAACATCCCAAACAGGAGGCAGAAGTAAGAGGATCTAAACTCCAAGGGCTGCCAATTTGATCATGGATCAAGGGACAACCAAAGATCAAAAACAAACAAAACAAAAACAAAAAAACAAAAACAAAAACAAAAACCATTCTGTGGTCTGAAGATGATCTGGTCAGAAATACAGGAAGGAAAAGGAGAAATATTCTTGGAGAAAAAATGAGTATTACAGATATTACAGTAAATATTACAAAATTCTAACACAAAGGCATTATCTCCTTCCTATCAATAAAATGTACTAGCTAAAATTCTTTCTCATTAGGAATATACTGCTTATTTTTATAACAGAAATCAAGGGACAAACTGAATTTGCTTCTCCATGTTCCCTATCATTATTTGATGACAAAATGAAATGCAGCCACATAAAACCACTCATTCAATTTCAACTTAACAGTATTTCATTTTTATACATATAGTTACCATACTTTTTAAAAACTTTAACAAAAATGTAATGCATTCCATCCTTAACAATTTGCCATATCTCTATCCATATCTTAGTCAAAATTATGACTCTTTAGATCATTTTTTCCTGATTACAGAATCACTATGTACTCATCTCAGGAAACTTGTAAAATACGAAAGAAAAAAAAAAAGCCACAAAATTTCTTCAAAAGAAAACAGAATTCCCCATAATCTGACCAACAAGAAACAAACATTGTAACCATGTTACTTCATCTGTTGGTACTATCTTACATTTTAGTAATCACGCCATTAGTCAATGTTTATTAGACGCTTTGAGTTACTTAGTTAATAGCTTTCCATATACTATTTCACTTTATACTTGCCACAATCCTATTCAAGTAGTTGGGTGAATACTGTCATTTTGTGTATAAGATAACTAGATTTTAAAAAGGTTAGGAAATGTGCCTAGGGTCACAGAGATTAGTGGTAGACCTGCACCCAGCATTCTCAATCACTATGCTATACCACCATTAATGTATACGTAGAGAGAGAATGCTGTATTCTACTCTACTCTTAGGTAATTTCCTAGATCATAAAAATTACAGATATAACATATAATTAAATTTAATATAACATTATGGACATACCATAATGTACTTAATCATTCTACTGGATCAGATTATTTTTGTTGTCGTATTCAACATGGTGTGATTCGTTCAATACAAAAATAAAAAGTAGGTAAATGAAAGATTTGCTTATCTACTTCTAAATTTAAATTAAAATATATTAATTCAACTTACTCTTTTACTGAGGCAAATAACTGGCCACATACTGCAACCTAATGTGCAGCAGCAACAAAGGCAGCCACAAAGTAGCCAACGTACATTAACAGGAAGGTTCTTCTTAAGACAACTGTTAACTCTGTTGATGCTGGCTTTAAATTCTTCAGGAGCTACCTAAAGAAAAATTTTAAGAAATAACAACACTGCAATATTAATGTCAAGAAACATGTCTCATTGGCATAATTATTTTTTCTAATTTGTTACGAAAAGACTCTACTTTTGAGGTATATAAATAGTACCTAAGTAAACAATAGACACTCACTTTTCCAGTTAACGAAGAAGGGAATTCTGATTCAAATTTGTTGCTCAGTCCAAATCTAGTTTTTAAAAAAAGAAGAGAAATATGTTATTACATGTCATTGTTGAAAAAAACCATACCATTTAACTTAATCAAAGGTCAAGTAAATAGATGCAACTTGATATACAGAGTAACAGTGGAAGTTTGAGACACAAAAACATTGTAATCAGCAAAAATTTATGAAATGCAACAAGCAATTTTAGCAGCTGAATCAAAACTTTTGTATAAGAGGCTAAAAATACAGAAAGAAATGACTTCTTTGGGGCTCTCTTTGTAAGTCAAATATTAATGTAATGAGAAACAACACAACTGTCCAATTTTGCCAAAATTACTGAGATTCTTCCAACTAAGTAATAGAAAGCCACAACCTCTGCTATTAGTTATTTTTTAGGTCAAGAGCACTTGTCAGCACTCAATAAAGCAGAAACATGTCTAAGAATGCAAGTTGATCAGTTAGCATTTTCTGAGATCACATCGCCACTGCCATTACAACCAGAGAATGCTAAAAACAACTGGACGATGTGACAGCTGCCCTGGCTAATTAAACTTTCAAGTACGAGGACACCTGCTATATGCATATACCCCCAAAGAAATAGAACTGAGGTAGTACATTTCAATATCTTTAAGCTTTTAAATGTTTGCAAAAATCATGAGATTGGACTGGGCACTTGACTATTTCTTTGTATGAGTCATTAGGAAAGAATAAAATACTCATGGACAAATTGGTAATAGCAGATTGCACCTGGAAATAAAAAGTGAGATACTTAAAAATGATAAGTTGGATCCTGAAGCCAAAATGTTTTCCACTTTTATTGATATAATTGGCATATTAACACTGTGTTAGTTTAAGGTGTGCAACATGACTTGATACATGTATATATTGTGAAATGATTACCACAGTAAGTTTGGTTAACATCTATCACCTTACATAGTTACAATTATTTTCTTCCTGTGATGAGAACCCTTAAGATTCGCTGCCTTAACGACCCTTATAAATACACAATACTGCATGTCAGGTAGCTGGCACTAGTAAGAAGGATCCCCTAGGATAGTCTGTGTGAAACAGCTGGCCAGATGAGACTTCTAACTTAACCATCAGTAGAGCCAAACAGGAAAATCAAATAAGGTGAGCCATGCGAAAGCAGTAAGGAGTGGTGGAGACTGGCCAAGAGGAGGGTATACAGAACGTGTGTGTGTATGGTGTCATGGGACAGATCCAGCTGATTATGGTCCTACTAGAATGCAGGCCCACGTCTGAAAAATTGTATGATTTGTCTTTCTTTAAGAAGAGTTGGAAAACTAGATTTCTATGTAAAATTTCCCATCTTTAAAGTACCGTGCAAGGCAAACAAAACACTTCTGTGGGTCAGGTTGTGTGGTCTGCATCATCATCTAGATTTCCCTATGTGCGAATGGTGGCCTCGGAGACCATTTTATCATTATCATAAGTAATTCATACATTATTTTATAGAAGCATTGAAATGATATCAATCTCTCTTTATAAATAACAGATATTGGGGCACCTGGGTGGCGCAGTCGGTTAAGCGTCCGACTTCAGCCAGGTCACGATCTCGCAGTCCAGGAGTTCGAGCCCCGCGTCGGGCTCTGGGCTGATAGCTCAGAGCCTGGAGCCTGTTTCCGATTCTGTGTCTCCCTCTCTCTCTGCCCCTCCCCCGTTCATGCTCTGTCTCTCTCTGTCCCAAAAATAAATAAACGTTGAAAAAAATAAATAAAATAAATAAATAAATAAATAACAGATACTGTTTACAAAATAGATTACAACCCAACTACCTAAGTCCAAGCCAAAATTCTTTTCGTACTAAACATAAACTGGCAACTATTGGTGTTGTACATAATCCTGGCATTAATGCCATTCTAAGACTGAAAGACTCTGAGTTAAATCTATTTTCTGTCTATGCAGGGCCCTCAGAGCAATGTGGTTTTACTTGAAAAAGCCCCAACAGATAACTCACTTCCAACCTCAAAAGTCCTGGCATGAGGAAGAAGTCACTGTGAAGTGTTCAATGATAGCTCTCTGTGAGGCGTCTACATAATGTACTTCCTTTTCATCTATTTCCCTCAGGGAAGAGGACATTCAACAAATGTTCAGTGAGTATAAATTATAAATTTCCATCTCTTGAAGTATTATCTCCCTTGGTCTGACGGTTCTTGCTTTCAATCAGTAGCTCCCATTTCAACCATGTTTATTATTGCAATTAACCATCTCCTTCCAATTGGTCTTTGAAAATTTTTTAGAGAAGCAACCACCAGATAACTCCAAGTCCCCTAAATAGAAAAGCCTCCCCCTTTCATCCCAATCATTAAACATTTAACACAGATTCAATTATTTTAGTGAATATCTACACTTTACTGCCAGGTAATATGCTAAATTGAAGGGAACAGTCCAGCATGAGTTTAAACCCCAATTTCCTTTCTTTCTAGAGGCTGAGTATTTCCTTATTGGCTAAGTGGCTGAGTATTGATGCTTTGCCCAGGGAGCACAACCAGCTAATAAATTGTCCTGTTGTTCCTGCAGGTCAGGGCTCCTTTTAAGTCAGGCTTGTTATTCTTCCAGTAAGAACTGGTAGCTCCAAGGATATTCACTCAGTTCCTCTTCAGTCACACTTTCTGTTAGGTTTTATCTTAGGAACAGATCGTAAACCTGCCTCTTCCTTCATCTCACCCCCAAAAGAATGTCCCAAAAAAAGATTACCCAGTGACATGATTAACACTATAAGGGAGTGCTTAGTTTTTCTACCAGCCATTAACTTGGTGCTGATGATTTTTCCATTCCTCTTTGCTCGCGTTTCCCATCCACAGAACAACAATACCTGGAAGGAACGTAAAGAAAATCCTGTGCTTGAAGCCCTGGAAGTCTCCCCAGCCCAACAGGAATGAACCCCAACTGTGCTTTCTCTTTTAAAGTCTCTAAACAAGTCATTTAATATTCAAATCCAGTACTCATGATTACCAGGAGAATGAGCCATGATAATCAAGCACCCCTTCTTCATCTTCATTTGGAAATTAGTTCTCTGCTACAGGGGAATTCAAAGGTTTGGTCAGGACCTCTTGGCTCTCTTAAATCCTTGAGGACCTCAAAAAGCTTAAGTTTATGTGGTTTATATTTACCAGTATTTTGGATTAGGCATTAGAACTGAGCCTTCAAAACATTTTTAAAACTTATTCATAAAAGAACCTAGTATATGCTAATAAATATAACATTTTAATGAGACACAACTTTTTCAAAAAAAATTTTAGAGAGAAAAGTACTGTTTTACATTTTTACATCTCCTTAATATCTGACAACGGAAGACAGGTGGATTCTCACATTTCTTTGTGCATTCAAACTGTTGTGATATGCTCTTTTGGTTGATATTTAAAAGGAAACTTAGGCTTCACCAGATACGATTTGGAAATCTGTATATATCATTCTTTGATTATATACAAAAAACTCAACACGTGGTAGTTTCTTAACTGTTTTTTTTTCAAGAAGGAAATTGAAACCATATCGATAAACTTTTAATACTTTGTTACATAAAATTCCGTTGATATATTTTGCCTTTTGAAGGCTTTACTTACACCTGATTTTATAACTTCATGCATTTGTCCCTTGGAAATGGAAATATTACTAAGTTAAGTTATGCAAATACTCCAAATGTTGACACACTTCATTGTATGATGTTAGAATCATCACACTCATTAATAGAACCACTGATCTCATCAGAAAGGTCTTTTAAGTATTGGGAAGCTGTCAAGTTCACAGTGACAGATACAAGTTTTCCAAAGTTCTAATTTTCATACTGAAAGCTAAAATTTTATTACTGACAACAAATGTTATCAGTTGTTTTGAAGTGACAGTCTTGTTTTATTTAAAAAAAAATTTTTTTTTAATGTTTATTTATTCTTGAGAGAGAGAGACTGAGCATGAGTGGGGGAGGGGCAGAGAGAGAGGGAGGGAGACACAGAATCTGAAGCAGGCTCCCGGCTCTGAACTGTCAGCACAGAACCCAACGTGGGGCCTGAACTCGCGAACCTCAAGATCATGACCTGAGCCGCAGTCGGACACTTACCAACTGAGCCACCTAGGCACCCCCAGTCCTGCTTTATTTAAAAAAAATATTAACAAAAGGGGCACTTGTGTGGCTAATTCAGCTGAGCATCTGACTCTTGATTTTGGCTCAGGTCATGATCTCACAGTTTTGTGGCTCTGAGCCCCACGCTGGGCTCTGTGCTGACAGTGCAGAGCCTGCTTGGGATTCTCTCTCTCTCTCTCTCTCTCTCAGCCCCATTCCCCTGCTCACTTTCTCTCAAAATAAACAAAAAAATTATAAGAGGCTGAAAGTTAACTAACCAGCATTACATAACCAAAGAAAAAAATGATTCATTTAAAATATTTGCACTACCATCTATACCTTAAAAACTAACAGCATATTATTTTAATAGTTGTTTTTCTAGCTTTGAATGTTACTGGTAGAGATACACAATGGTTGTTAATTTTAACAGGTCTCCTGGCAATAAAAGCAGGAGAGAGGAAAATGAAAGGAAAAGTGGGGAGGGGAAAGTAGAAGGAAAGAGGGAGAGATGACATAAAAAAGAAAGTAAGCATTAACAAAGTGCTACCAACAACTGTCTCATTTACCCCTCAATACTTATTGTCAGTCCACCAGATGGAATTAAAGAAAATGCAGACGTGCTGCAGACATCTATCCCTATTACCTAAAAGACCTTTTCCTCAATTGTGGTTAAAATACTCACGGCTTCAGAACTGATAAAATAGTTAAAATTTTTTCAAAGAATGGCAAATATAACAGGATAAAATACATTAAACTTAGCCTATTTTACAAGTTTACCATTACAAGTTTACAGGTCTCCAAGTCTCCAAATACAGTTGGAGAAAAGACAATTCACTCAAATCACAACCACCGAAAACCTTCTATGTAATACTTCAAGAAAACAAGGTCCTACAACAGAAGACATAGTTTTTTTTTTTCTTTAATTTTAAAAAGCAAGCATGTACAA